ATACAGTTCACTGCCCAGTGCCACTCATCAATGTCACAAACATAAGCGCGGAAAATTGAGGGAAACCCTCCACGTTAAGAGAGGCCTCCTCACTAAATTGCTCAGAAATTCAGAAATTCGTGTAATAAAACACAGAAAATACCCGCATAAATTTCTTTTCAACGCGCTGAGGGCGTAAAAAAATCTTCCGGTTTATGGATTTTTGCGCTGGTAACATATATGAGTATGTTTTCTCATATAACCCCTGGTATTTAATAGTGCAACATTTTTAGTGGGGTGAAGGGAGGGGGAAACTGCATTAAATGTGCTTAAGCGAGCGAGAGGTCATGTGCGTGATTACTCATACGACGTGTAGCCGTCGTGGAGATCATCATCTCGCATGCCGGAAAATAAAACTGAAACGAACTGAAAGAGCGTTTCATATCAATGACATGACATATTAAACGGGCCACCAAAGCGGATTTGTCCACACATATACGTACTTCAAATCTTTAGATAAGTTCGAGGCGGAAGGTTAGTTGGGGGAAGTAGGAGGTGGGGGTGGGTGGTGTTTGGTGGGCGGGGCAGGGATGGCATCTGTAGCGTTCTCTGCTCTTCACAAATCAGAGCGTAAATACAATGCTGAAAGACGATGGGAAAGCGAGACGAGAAGCGAGAAACGATGCGTGTTCTGATAGCGGAATCTGCTCAGTGGCACTTCAATGGACTGCGATGATACAGTGAAAACTGAGGAGTAAGAACATTATAAGTCTCTTTTATATCAGTATCATTTTCCCAGACTTTAAGAAATCCAAGAGTGTTTTCATTGGTCGTTTAAATTTTAAATTAAATGTTTTTAGACCTATAACAAAATTTTACTCATAAAAAAGGTATATATTAATTTATTTAAATTGATTAGAGAAATATTCCAATATTTTCTGTATGTTTCCTTAATGAAAAACCAAATAACAAAACTTGAGATTTATTGTGCTTTATTTTCACACCCAGTCAATCAGTTTTAAATTGATTTTTAATCACTTCTAAGCGGTCTACCGAAACAATTTAAAGCTTAAGACCCGCATATCTTGGCCATGAATTATTCTCAAAGCGAAACTACAGATCCACCCAAAGCAGTTATCACTGTATCTGAAGCACATATGCGGGCAGCGTCCAGTTTAGCTCATCTGTGGGGCATTGAAAAGACTCGGGAAGTGAGGGTGGGGGAGTTGCCTTATAAAGAGGGTGGCTGTTCGGAGTTCTGGGAGATAAAAGCGAGACGATGGAGGAAGCATCAACAGTCGGCGGCCATTAGCTGCTTATCGCGCTTCGTCTTCGGCTGCTGATTCTTTTATATACATTTTCTTTTTTCCATCATTTTATTTTCTTTCTATTTTTTTCTTATTTTTATGCCATTGAGTAGGACTGAAAATAGCAGCGACAGTGAGCTCAAGTGTAAAGTTATCAAGTGGCTGCGACTGGCAGCCAGATGGACGGACACCAGTCAAGGGTTAAAGCCATAGACAACGTCGAGTGTGTTTGGCCATGGCTTGTGACATAAAATGTTATCAGAAAGGATTATGACAAGCCTGCAAAAAGGAGAAAAACAAAGTAATAGTAAAGAGCGAGGTGAAACACTGTAGAACTGTATCACTGGCACAAAGAAATAGAGACGCCAACGATGAGGATGAAGATGATGATGATGCGATGGCGACGATATAGCCGACAACCAAGTGTCAAAGTCGGACATTCGACGCCATAAAATATTTACACCAAAAAGGAGCAAAGGAGCCTCGAGTTATCTCAAGAATCGCACTTCAGTCGAGAAAAGTTATCCTCTATTTCTAAGGATAAAATGGGAGGAGGGATAAGTGTCACAATTGTTGGTTAAATAAGTCGAGGATTTCCCACTTGAGTTTCGAGGAGTTTGTCGCTTTTTCTAAGTCGAGTTCGGTTGGTTTAAGTGGTTTTAGTGAGGTTTAAGGCACAGATTTTAGTTGTGAATAATTTATATACATTTTTGTGAAATATATTACTCAATTCTTTCATTTTTTGCGAATATAACTGAAATTTGACAGGAAATAAATTCCATAAAGCCCTAATCCGCAAACCAGAAAATACAACTGCCAGCATGTTTTCTTATCGTAAAACCACTTTATAGTCATCATCGAAGAACACGAGAGCACAAGAACCACGACTCCAATGAATCATTCTCGGTTATCTACAGCTCAACGAGAAGTTAAAAACGCAAGATGACAAAGAAATCCCGATCGTTGTAAGTAAACATACAAACATGATATACAAGTATGTATGTGATTCCGGTCTGTACTTTTCTGATCTATGGAATGCACTCATCAAAAGCTGAAGAGGAAACGCAGTGAATTCCCTAGTTAACGACAAGCTGCACAGGAAAAAAACACTTCAAATAAATGTAATGTAAACCATTAAAAACAGCAGCAATTAAACCAAACAAAATGCGCCCCTCTCGGCGATTCTCAAATTGTTTAACTGATGCTGCAACCTATCAAATTCCAATGTTTTATTAAAATTTTCTAGTTTTCGGTTGTTTTTCTTCACGTGCAGGTACTTAATTTCTTGTGCAACGTCTTATAACTTCATAACTTTTATGGCCGGCGAATGAAGCAGTTTAGAAGGAGCCACAGTGAGTTACAGACACATAGCTGGGTATAATTAAAACAGAGGGAAGACAAGCGGCGGCAGCTCGTGCGGCAATTAACGATAGTTAAGCTGCAAGTATCAGTTCGCTGACAAACAACCAAGACAAGTCCAACCAGCAGCAACTACAGTTAGTGGATTTTTTGTAATGGCCTTGGCAGCCAACTTGCAACTAGTAACTTGCAACCAGAGTGACATTCTTTGGTTTTATTTTTTCCCCCTTTTTTGTTGCATCAGCAGCTGCTGCTGGCGAACAAATCTCCTCAATAATGCAATGAAAACATTTAAACAACAGCTGAAATAAAGTCAACTTCACTAGTTCTTCTATTTTTTGTTTTGTTTTTTTTTTTGGTAATGCAACATTTATGAGCCGAGGCGAAGAAGAAGCTCCCAAATGGCAAAATCGTGAGAAATTGTTTCAATGCAAGCTCAAGTTGCATTTGAAATTGTTTCCGCTTGAAGAATTGCCCAATTGTTGATGGGGGAGAAAACGCTGACATATTGGGTGTGGTGGAGAAAATTCGCTGAAAATTTCATCTTTCATCGAAATGAAATAGTGAAATTGCTCACTGAACATGAGTTGAAATGTTGTAAAATGAGAGAAGCAAAAAGGAATACATTGTTCAGGGTTTGTTAGATTGATGTAAGGAAATCAGTTGATAAAATATTCGATAAGTTATCAAACATTTCTTATATAAATAATTTAACTATTTCTCAAGTTTCCTGGTTTTTCAATATTTTTCTAGGAAAAACTAGTGATATAACAACTTTTTTATTACCATATGAAACCATATAAGGCCCATAATTTCGGTCTTTCAAAACAAAAGACCCGACATAAAATGTCAATTAAATACTCATTCCAAATATGGTTCGATTTCCAGCCAATCAAGACCATTAGTCAGATATTCAGGGGCTTACCTATACGGATGGCAACCAAACTATATTTTAAATTTTTTCTTTATAGCCATATCTTTGACTACGCCCCTGACTAGCCTGCAAAATACACACACAAAATCGCTCCGATTATGGGAAGAAAAACAGCTGTTCGTGGAACTAGTTTCTGGAACAAGAAATGCAAAAGGCAGAAATACAAAAAAAAGCTAAACAAAACCGAAAATAAAAAACCGTTTGCGTGGGCGTTGAAAGACAATTAGCCGCATGCCGCAAAATCAAGCAACCGAAACGGGTTTTTCAGTGAGTCAACATGGTGCAAACTATACGGGTTTCCATGTCATGCCTAAATAAACCAACTAAAATGCCTGGCGAATTTTATGAAAGCCCAAAATTAGTGGGGGGCGACATTTCTCCACACATTCGATCAAGTAATTCATCAAAATTTGTTTACACTTCCCGCAATTTTTGGCATATTTCGGTCCCTCTTTTGTCTGTCAAATTGCATTTGACTGGGAAACGAGTGCATTCAATTACCAGCACCGAAAAGAGCTGAACTGACAACCCATCAAAATGCTTTTTTAGACCATTAAAAGCTTTCCCCACCGTTGCCAACGCAGAAATCGATAAGTTTCTGTCGGAAAATGCGAATTTGTTTTGCATTTTTTGTATTTGTATCTGTTTGCGGTCTGGCAACAGAAAAGTTTTTTAACTAAAAATTGCGTTTACTTTTTTCTTTTCATTTTTCATTTTGCGAATTGTGTTTTCGGTCAGAAAAAGCTGAAGGACAGAATAAAAGAAGTGCAGTTTTTGTTCGTTTAAATGCAAAAATTCGACAAGGAATGAGAATGAGTTGATGGCAATTTTTTCTAGGGGAAAGTTGATTGAAGTTGGGGTTCTTTAGAGCGGGAAATGTTTTGAATTCATAACAGCTACGAGGAAAAAACTTGTTGTTTTGAATGGCGAAAATTGAAGCGGAATCGGTTTTTTAACGGCGCAGTTACAGGTATTAAAAGACAACACTTAACGATAAAAAATGGGATAAAGTTGGGGAAAAATTAAGCTGAATTGGTTTTTAATCTTTAAATCTTGCGTGGAAAATAGTTTGCCAATTTCTTGATGATCAATAAATATTATTCATTTGGCTCTAGCATTTTTCTAGCTTCAACTTCACATTTACATTTATCATTTGACATTTTCTGCAACGCCTGCTTGATTTAAACAAGTTTTTGCGAAGCCGCAACTTCGATTGCATTAATGCATATATATATATAATTTATCTATAGACTATTGCATTACCATAACTAACTATTGTTTGAATGAAACTGCACCCACATGAAGCACAAATCACAGAATGACTCAACTCATTCAAAGATTTTTTCTGGGAATATTGACAAATCAAAGTTTTCTCTTAGAATTATTTAGGTCTAAAATATATAATAATTATTTCTACTCACTTAATCTGCCGAAACTGTGTGAAAGCCTCTTCTTGAGCTTTTGTAGGGCCCCTCCTTTTTTCTCCCGCATTGTGACGCCTGAAAATAGATGGAGAAAAATATACATAAATACATTTACGCAAACAAATCACTTAATTGCGCTGAAATGTGAGAGATTTATTAAGTGACATTCAGTGATTGCATAATGATGGCTCCAATCAAGTTGTCTGTTTTATATCTATATGTATAAATGTGTTGGGAAAACTTCAAAACAAACAAACAAACCGGGGAAACAAAACACAGATTTCGTTGTTATAAACGAACATAAATCAGTCGAGCGTGGTCTCACATAATAAACAGGGTGACCCCAGAGATGGAAAATCGAGGGGACGAATGCAGTCGTCCATTTCCATTTCCCCCAAATGAATAATCAACAAATTTTACACCAACCAAAAATATTCTGCCGAAAATAGAAAATGCATTTCTGAGTCTATTTTGGTATTCGAGGGGGAATCGCCCATTCCCTCGCCTATAAACCATCGGTATAATTAAGTTTTCTTTTTAATTCTGTTGTTTGTCGAAATGATCAAATAATAACATTTAGCAAAAAAGCGCTTATTTGAATGTTCATTGAGGCATGAAAATTGTTTTGTGTTGCTTTTTTAAGGGGTTTTCAATGGTAGGCGTGTCTGGTTTCCCTGGTTTGTTGATTGCATTAATGATTTCTGTTTGTGTTTTCTGATTTTTTCGCTATTATTAGAACGCACAAAAATGAGTAATTTATGTGGTTAGATGAAAATAAAGCAAGTGGGTCAGATGCAACGATTGAATTTATATTGCATAATGTAAAGCAGTTAACTGCTTCCTAAGTTAAAAAATCTATAAATTCTTATGTGATCTTATCCAACTCCTACATAACTCATTTACACTTCCTCATCTCAGACTTCTTGATTATCCCCCGCTTTCCTTTGGTTTATTACCATCCCAATAAGGAAATTGGCACTTGAGCAATCATTTGTCAAACTCTTCACAACTCTTAAGTCGCTGCATTGACACTGATTGAGATGACCACTCCAAAACGACCTCCACAAAGCCCCTACATCCAATATACTATCTGATATCCGCTCTTTTTCCCCCGGCTGACTCCCACAGAACTAAATAACAACATGGAAACCAGTTTTTGTCCGAGAATAAAAGCGACTTTGACAATTGCATACAGAAAATGTACAGAAAATAACTAAAAAATGTCTCTCTTTCTCACTCGCAATAAAATGTATTTCTCGTTATTTATTTACCCATATGTGAGCTGTGTTAAATCAGGCGATAAAGTGTATGCTGTAGTGTTGAGATAACTTCTTGTTCAATCCCCCTCGAGTATTGTTTGGGTTGTTGTCGAAAGCAATTTGGCTTAAACAATGCAAGAAGCAAGTCAAGCCCAAGCAATTTATGGCCATGGAGTGCTTTGCATAAGGCCCCAAGTACCTCCCATCCCATTTTCGCCCCGCTCTTCGGCTGCAACTCAATTACGGGGGCCATCGGAGTCATAACTATAAGCTGTTGTTGACTTCTAAAATGGCTATTCAAAAACATAACCCGGGGCTCTGAAAAGGGGGGGTGGTGATTTGACAACAAAGAATCGAGGGACAAAGGGATAAAAAGGGGGAATATCTGTTTCTTATGTCACAGAAAAGTAGAAAGGTATGCAAAATGGAGGTATATGTAACGTAAGCCGAGATTAAATTCGATACTTCTTGTATTAAGTCTTCTTTAAATTTTGTAAAAATGTTTCATTACTTGAAAATTGTTTAATATTTAAGAAAAACCATTGCAATATTTTAAATTATTGCAGCGATTTGAAATAAAATTTAAAATGCTAGAACATTTAGAGAAATTTAAAAAATATTACTTTTTGCACTAAATATATACCATTTTTCGAATGGAAAAAAAATCTTTTAAATATCAAAAGCTTTTTCTTTTGAAGTAGTTAATAATTTCACACTGTAAATTCGAACTTTTCCTCTTAAATATTTGTATAACATTTTCTCCCTGTGCACAACCGACAAAGAGGACTATATCGTTGCGTTGTTTTTGGTCTTGTCTATATAAGTGAGCTGGAAATATGATTATGATGGTGATGCTGATGCTAATGCCGGTTGACAGAGCCAGACACGCCGAACCGGGCGATTGCATATAAATGGCACTCACTGTGCACAGTGATTTGCATAAAATGGCGCCAGCCTTAATAGTTTTTGATAAATTGTTGTCAATATTGCAAGAGCCCCACCCCCTAAAAAATAGCGAAGTTGTTAACACAAAACTTATTTAATTAAATGCGTGGAGAAAAAGTTTCTGGTCTTGCTAACGATAAAGTTGCAATGGCAAAAGTGGCATTGCATTAATGAGTTGCATATGCAAACATCAAAGTTTGCAATCAAAATCAATGTCAGCGCCAGACGACGACGACAAATTGTGGGCAACCAAGTTTCAGAGTTCCGGATCAAAGGCGAGCGATATAGCGATGATATACAGACGGGTAGTACAGGTACACGTAGAAGGTAGAGTGGAGTTGAGTGGCATTGAATGGGTTCAATAGCCTAGAGGTTCCACAACGCCCAATCGCCCATGATATCTGCTGGCTGGGGGCGTGGCCAGTCAGGCGTGCCACAGGCAAAAATAGCAACAAAAAAGCACAGAGAACTGAACAGTCACTCCTGGAAATGTTCGTTAATGTCGGTGACATCTAATTAGAGAACAAATAACGAGGAGACAGAAGAAAAAGGCAAAAATAAATAATCAAAAATGCAAAAGGCAGTTGAAGAGGAAGGTTCGCTCGAGTTCTATTGACTTGCCAATGAAATATGGAAATGGTTGGGTGGGATAACCATTCCCTTTTAGGATAATTATTATTTATCTAGAGGTTCTATATCAGAATGCTACCAAAAATAGTCCTAAATTGTGTTTACAATTTAGTTTGTGTTATTTATTTTGGGAAAACCTGAAAGTATCATTGTAGTTTTAAGTAACCCACTTAAAGTCCTTCAAAACTGCGATAAACAAACAATGAAGCCAATTAAATTTAACTGCATTCATAGACTTTGTAAATGTTTACGGAAAACTCTTTCCCGGAATCCTATTTTTCGAAAATATCTGCTGCTTGTACGAGTTAAATTGAACCAATTTATAAAGCCTAATAGCTTACAATCTGTGCAAATAATCTGCTTGTTTTTGGCCTATAAATTGTCTCCTTTCGAAACGCATTTATTAGCCACCAAAAACAGACCGGCAATTACCCCCCTTGGTGAGGAAAAACAGCGGCCAAACAGTTGACACAAGCCAAAAAGCAAATGATATGACGACGAGCACTTTCCAAATTTCTTGTTAATGACGTAATTACCAACAGTCGAGCAAAACAAAAGGAAAAGAAAAGAGGAGCCAGCCGGCGAGGAAAAGTGGAAAAGCGCGAGACAGGCGTGAAAATCGTGAAGGAGGCGAAGCAGATTCTGTGGCAGGCCACACGACGTATACGTGACATTTTGGCCACGACACACGGCAGCTCATCCTACAGCTGTGAGCGAAAATATAGGAGCATTTTCTGATATCTTAAAATAGTAGAAATCAAAAATATTTTATTAGAAATTTATGATTTTCAGATTAATTAACTGATTTTAACTGAAAAAATAATATTTTTATTAAAATAAACTCATGTATTTCAAAAACTCACATTTAATTTTAAACTTTGAATAACTAATAAATTATAGTACATATATTGAAGACATTATGAATATTTTAAAAATCTAGAATATTATCACATCATATTTAATTATTATCTCGATTATCAATTTTGAAATATAAATTCTTGTAAAGTAAAATTCAATATCTAAAAAACAAATTCTTCAAAAATAATGCCAGTAATAATCCTATAATTTCACCCCAACTGTAGTAATATATCCTTTCCCCGTGTTCTCCATCCCCATGGCTTTTAGCCAACTTGCACACATTCTCTGATTCAATGCAAGGGAAAATAGAATGCTGAGTAAAAAAAATAAAGCAGAAAAAAGCAAACAAAATAAGGAAAGGCAAAACTCTTGCTAGCAAAAATATTTTGACACTTTTCAGCGACAAGCAGCTGACTAATTGCGAGAGTTTTGCTCTTTTGGAGAATGCACGCAAAAAAGTCTCTAAAAATAGTAGGAAAGTCGGGTAAAATGCACTGGCGACAGCTGACGGAACTGAAAGTCCAAGAATGTTCGATGATTAAATGGCTTATAAATGACGCGGGCATTTTTACTCGTTTTGCCGGCACAAACTTCCAGGCAGCACAAAAAAATTCTAGGCCAAAAATAAGTGGAAAAAAAGCGCAGACACGTGACAAGTGGGGGAGGTTAAAAAATAAAAGAGGCAAATCCACAGATTCAAACCATTTTCGCCCTTTTCCTTTGTTGATGACCTCAGTAAACTCGACTGCAAATTGAATTCTAACTTTTATCAATATTAAATTTGCTGGGCAAACTAAATTTTATACAAATTTCATTTGTTTTGCGGTTCATTTATATGCAGTGGAGAGGGAGTTGCAAAGTCTCTGTTTAATTAAGATGCATTTGTAACTAATTAAATGTGGAATAATGGATTTTTTCTAAGCGGATAAAGCTTAAACTAATTAAAATAGCTCTAAGCCAGAATGAAATAATTAAAATGTGAAAAACAATAAGGGATTAGCACAAATAAATAAACAAAAAACAAATAACCGTTTGATTGAAAATATACTTAAATTGTTTGAATCATTAGCTGGGCATTAATACCTTTTTAATTTTATTTAAATGCCCAACTTCACGCCAACATAAATTTATCCAGATTTCACCGGCCTTAACCCTTGCTGGCCAAGCTTTCTACGCCTTTGGCAGCCCCATCCATCAGCGTGGCCATAAAACACGCATCATTTATTCACCTAGCAAATAATAAAATTAAAAAACCATCAAAAACACAGCCCGAAAAGCGTGATTATTTAGTTTTTTGAAATATTCATGCACAACAACACCCCCGAGGGCAAACACAAATTTTATTACCATATAGAACTATTTTTTATCGCCAGTCCATCGCCCCATCAAATCTAATCAAATTAAAGTCGGAGAAAGGGAGAGTTTCCTCGTGAGATGGGGCGTGATGGATAAGAAAACTGGGTAGGAAATTAGTCAACCAGTTGCATGTTTTCGTAATGAAAAATTATATACGTATATTTGGGTGAGTGTATTGGCCACCTGTTTTAATAGTTTTTGCACACGGCAACGCAGGCTTTTTGACTGGAGTTGCGTGTTCACGAATCGTTCATCTGAAACTTGCCAAAAAGCAGAAAACTTGGCAGAAATAAGAGACCTGCCAAATCCGAGCTTAATTAAAATTGAAACATATTTTTTTTTTAGGAAAAAAAGACCCCAAAAGAAATAAAAAAATGAACAGCTGGGAAAATAAAAACCATTCCAAAACGACCAACAAAATGAAGTGGAATATAAAATGTAAATCATAGTTTACTTAAATTGCTAAAAAGTATTTTGAACATCTAATTAATCATTGCTCTTAAATGGAAAAACAATTTTTAGTAGGAAGTGTAGAAACAACTATAAAAAATTAATGACAGTTGTGACCGACTTTAGAAAAACATTAATTTTGAGTTGGAATGAAAAAATATGATGATAAGAAAAAAATGGGTTGGGTTGCATTGAGATAAGAAAACAAATGAGGCAAATCAAATCTCCAAGGTATAAAAAAGGTTGAAAAAGCGATATAAATTAGGTAAGATTTCATATTTCCATTGATAATATTGATTAATAGCAGAAAAGATTTTTATAAAATTCTGTTGGAAGTTAATTAACTCCAAACATATATATTAAAAGTTATTATCGAAATATAATTTATTTATTTTGACTAAATATAGTTTATGTTTTAAAATTGCCTCGGCTGCACTTTGACTGCTGCACTTTATTTTATTTAATTACTGTTAGAAGGTGCATCGAATGCAACCGATATTCAAAATTGACCGTAAATCTAAACTGCAATTTTCATCATAAAATAGCCATAAATCTCTAATTGATTTAGCCATCGGATCGGCAGCCTCAAAATTTAATCATTTTGACATTGTATTTGGCGATGAAAAGGCGGCATTCATAATTAGACAACTGAAAATGACTTGGGAAATGAAAATAATTAAATTGTATTTAGCCTAAAAGCAACACGAAAACGAAAACTAGTTGGCCAGACAATCTAAACGAGTTGCACTAATAAATCAGATAGTAAGGAGATAGAAAAGCGATATTCCATAATGAGTTTCGGATGCGTTTGTTTCATGTTTGCTTTACAGATAAAATGGTTTGAGGGTCTGGGGTCTGGAGGTTTGTGGCTTATCGCTATCGCTGTCCATAAAGCATAATGTCTGATTAAATAAATGATTTCGATTTGCCTCTGGCCGTGACGTCAGTTGTGAATCGTCTTGGGTTCAATGTTCTCTAATAAACAAAAATAAAGTTCAATTCGACTTGAATTAATATCAATTGAGGAAGAAGAAGGAGAAGTCGGTTTTCAAACGGGTTCCCGAGAAAAAAGAGGGAGATAAATGGATGGGCGAGTGAGAAAGAGAGAGAGGGAAAGGGCTGGAAAGAACTGGATTGCACAATTTTTCAATTAAATGCAGTTTCTGCTTCTGGCAGTTGCATTTATATAACTCATCTCTTTTATTTTATTTCTCCTCTCTGCTCGTGTCAAAATATTTACGCTTAATTTTAATAAAATTTACTTTGAGGCCTGCCATTCTTCTCTCTGCGTATTTGTATTGCATTTTAAACGGGGCTTTTGGCGCATATATTAATATATGCATTTATTTATTTATTTGCTTTTTTAAGGCAGTGAATCAAACAAAAAAAATAATAAAGAGTATATGTATGCATTTTTGCTGATTTTTCAAGTGTATATGGCTGAAAAGGATGAACGGCAGGAAGTTGGAGATTTGTGTGTGTGCTGGAATTTAAATTGAGAGCTGAATTTATGGGGGAATTCCATTTTTTATTCTGCCAATATATGCGAATGCGCGAAAAGGGGAAATACAAATAAATTATTGACAACTCTCAGAGAAATATTTAAGATTATTGGGAATCAAAAGGTTGAGCAGCCTTTTGTAATATACAAATATTTTAATTTTATATTTTTAAAGCTACTTCACAATATTCAAAGAATTTTTCAATAAAATTCTTAACATCCCATCCAAAAGTTTTCCGTTCTCTTTCTCAGTTTTTCGGAACTCACCCAGCTTGTTTATATTTTTAAAAGTCTATCAAAAGAAAATAAACAAATGCCTTTATTACTCTGCGAATTCCGCTTAACTAAAAATAAACCGAGAAACCATAACAAATGCCAATTAAAGCCAAATCAATATAAATAATTTATAAAAAAGTGAAACATCAACTTTTTGTTTATGCCCGAAAGAATTCCTCTTCAACAGGAAATTCAAGTACAAGTACAGTGGAATTTCGTGTGTGTGCTCTACTGTTCAAACAAACCAAACAAAACCGAAAAAAATAGAGATACAGTCATGTTATGTGGATTATTTATGATGTGTATATACGCACCGGCACCAAAATTATTGTTGTTAATTTTAGTGGGCTGACTGATTAATTCGGCCATGTTGCTGCTTTTAAGACGAAGAAACGCTCACAGTTCAAAAGATGATTTCAAGTTTTATTTAATTGATTATTTCTCGTTTATGGCACGCATTTCTTTGGTTTTTCTTGGGTACTCGTAAATTTCACTGGGTTTTATGTTGAAATCCGATGGAGATATATGAACTCCACACTGCACACAAACACTCTCGAATGAAATATATATGGGTTTATCAATTTGTTTTTTTTTCCTTTCTTTTTTATCAGACGACGACGCCGAAGTTGCAAGTAAACGAGGTCAAATATTATCTGCAGACAAAACAACAATAAATCTAGCGACCACAGACAACAACAAGCAGCACAGAAAAAGTTTGCCGCTCGAAAGACACTTTTTTCTGGGGTGGTTGTTTGTTAGGGGTGGTTGTTGATTTTTATGCTTTTTAAGTGGTTTCAGGTTCAACTAGAAATCATAAAAAACGTAGATATCTTTTTTACAAAGTCACTTTTTTCACAATTTTTACAAGCAAAGCATCGCCTAATGATTATTTCATTTTAATTATACAAATTTATTTTACAATCGTAGTAAAAAGAAGGAAATTTGGCTTGCTATCAAATAAATATTGTTCTATTATAGTGTGCATAACTTTCTTATATTTTGAAAATCACTTTATTTGTTAAAATTTTAACAATGTATTTCTGTTGACAAAACTTTAAAAAATCATAAATAAACTCTAATAAAGTCACTATTTTTGCACTGTTTTTTTTTGTCAAAGTTTCGCAAATTTTTGGGTGTTATTTTGGGGATTTTTTCGCCGGGACGCACAACCTGCCGCTTTGGATTTCGCACACGAAATGAGGTCAACGAGAAACGGGACAAAGGACGTCGACTGCGGCGAGGCAGCGACGCTAGCAGCGCCGTCGACGTTTTTACGTTACGCCTGGCGAAGAAGAAGAAGCAGCAGCAGAAGGAGCGGTAAAAGTAGCGCAAGGGCGACCACCAGTGGGCGGTGGGTGGTGGGTGGTTCAGCTCTCTCTATTTTCGAGAGAGAGAGAGCGAGAACAAGCCGGCTTGTGGAACCTAAGAGAGAAAACCAAACCTCGCTCTTAAAGGGGGTTGAAAATATCCTGTCTTACTCGGCGTATACGCAATATTACATGATTTAGGACTTAAGGGTGAGGGCAGGTCGCGACTCAAAAAAAAGGAGGGGAAAAAGGGGTGGCTAAATCAAATGGGGTTGGGGTTTCTTGCAGCGCTTAGCTCTGGGTCAAAGGCAAATCTCGTTAAGAGATCAAAATCCAAACTGCAGCTCGGGTCTTACAGTTTGAGAGCCACTGCCATCGCAGGCATTTGCGTCACACTTTTCCGGTGATGCATGCAAATTGCTCGAAAGTAGGGGAAATATATCTTGAGTCAGCTGATGGAAATCGAAGCTCTGCGACTCAGCTTGTGATTTACTGGAATCTCAGCTAAAGTTACAAGTCTTTGTGATTATATTTAATAGGTCTATTTCTGGTATGTCTCTCTCTCTCTTTCTTCGTCTTTATCTGAATTCTAGTGGCATTTTTCATTCAGCTTCTGCGGAGGCAGACACAAGTTCATTATCACGATTATCTCGCATTGCCGCCAAATGTTTACACTTCAAAGTCACGCACCGCCTTGAACTCAAACGAATTATGATACATATTTATTTTTGGTACAGTGGTCGGTCACTTCCGCAGAAATTTTTAGATAATATGAATCATTTTAATATTGAAACTTTTGTGGAGATAAAACTTATAAGTCATCGTAAGCAGCAGATATTACGAAGTAAAACTCATTTTTAAAAACATTAAAAATTATTTAAATATATTCATTGATGTATTTCTAATAATTTACCTAACCAATTTCGATCCTTAATAAAATATTTTTATTAGTGGAAAACTTTAGAATTTTATTTATTCACCTTGCATAAAAATTATCAAAAATATCTAATCAAATATTTAATGGCATTAAACCATTAGCACATTTAATGGCAGTGCTAAGTGATATTGATTTGTGCTTTGGGCATTGCAAGTTTCTTTTCCAGTGACCACTGTATTTAAGTTTATTATGAATTGGCCCTCATTTAACAGTGCGAATCGTAATTGCCAGAAAGAGAAAAAAACCCCGAAGATAGCAATAATAATAAACTGCTCTGGCTCGAAAATAACCTTCAGTTTTGGTTTCCTTTTCGCAGCTGAACGCACTTCAACCCGTGCAAAGCCTCGCAAATAAGCGGAATTCAAATAAGTGTGGGGGTGCTGCTGCTGCTGCTGCTGGGGTCCCAAGGGGGTTAAGGGGGTCTACAGAGGGTTAAGGGGGCGAACCCGAACTCGGACTTCTAATTGAAACTAGAGACCGCATTTCGCTGGGGTGCCCACTTCGCGGCTCCGGCTGCTCAAATAGCAAACAATTCAAATAAACAAACACAAAACACACACACGAGGCAAATAAATAAATAACGCTGCACACACAGCAACAATAAGGGTACACACAAATTATTAAATATGATTATTATATTTATTGCGACCCTATTATTGTTGTTCTTTTTTCCTGTTTGTTATTTAAGCTGTGATTTATGAGGCTGCGACAAAAATTCAAAAAGGCACGAACAAAAAAGACGCAGCACCAATGTGACGTACAATATTTGGCAGTTTGAGAGCCACTGGGTTGCGGAGTGAAAGAGAGCGGTAGATGGCGCGCGAAAGAGACGGGGATAGAGGGAGCGAGCGAGAGCGAAACGTCAGCCGCGGCGAACGTTCGATTGTGAACTAAAAACACGACAGCAACACCAAAGCTACGGCAGCAACACGAAGCAGCGCCAGCAGCAACATCGCAGCGACATCAGCAACACGATAGCAACATTGCAGCAGCAATATTGCAGGCACAACAGCAACATTGCAGCTACGACTGCAATATCGCAGCCACAGCTGAAAATGCAGAAGCAGCAACGCCGGCGGCGACGTCGTGGTGAATTTCCCTCGACCATTTTTGCTACTATGAAAATTCATTCAGGCAAAAAAAACGAAGAGGAAAATAAAAAGAAAAGCGCAGCCGGCAAAGTTTGAACAGCTGAAGACGAGCTTTGCGTTCCGGTTTCATTCGCTCCGCTCGGCTTACGTCACAAACAAATACAGAGAACCAAGAATCGAAGCCTTAAATGCACAACGAGAAAATAGTAAAATTTAGGATATATATTACTAATATTTTGTATGATTAGTAACGAAAAATTAGAATGCTATTAAATAATAATTTATTATAAACCATACAGGAAAATTTTATTTAAAAAAATATCAAAGATCAAATTCTAAAATAAATAATTTTGAAAATATTTAAAATTCCCTCAAATATTTTTAAACGTTTATGCTTTATAAATCTCTCAAAAACAAGATACAAATCTGGTAAGTTTCTCGATTCTGCCCATTTAGCAAACGAAACAAAGCACACCAAAACAATACCAAAAAGTAAACAAAATAAAATAATGAAAACAAAACAAAAGAAAAGATATAAAAAGAGAAGAAAGAGAGAGGAAATGCTGATGTAGCTGCTACGAGGAAGTGTTGGCGAAAATAAATAATTTAAGAAGCAGCCCATTGTTTAATGCAGCAGTGGCCAAAAAGCATGAATCATCGGCCAAAAAAGAGGGAGAAGGGGATGCCAGGGCTACCAGGGGGCAGAAAGAGAGGAGACATGGCCAGAAAAAGAGAGAGAGAGACTAAAGACAAGTGCAAAGGCATCCACAACAGAGAAAAACGAGTATCCAATGAAGGAATGTGGCCACGCAACAAACAAATGAGAGAATCAAATTCTCTCAAATAACTTAACTTCCACAAACATTTTCACCACTCCATATAAAGAGAGAAAAAGAGAGAGAGGGCGGAGTAAGGGGGTTTCGAGAAAGAGAGGGCACTACACACATTGGGGCATCGCATATTTTGGTGCTCTATTTTAAATTATTAATGAGCGGCTTGTTCAGTTATTAAAAGCCTGGGAATATCACAAAAGTCTCCCCGAAAAAGAGAAGCATTCTCTCTGGGTCTTCCTCCCTCTCAGATTCTCCCTTTCTCTGGGCAATTCCCCAGCGAGCGAGTTTTGGAATAACAGGAGCTAAGCAACAAAAGCTCCAATTCCCCAAAAAAAATAAGAAATTTGATTAGGTTTAGCCCTCGGTTTATTGAGCTTTGTTGGCAATAAAAAAGGTAACAACTGTTTAATGCCTTACCAAAAAAAAGGACACAACCATTTCACCCACTTAGAGATAGGTTAGGTTTTTATAAGGTGGGCTCATAAAGTTGGCATAAAATGTAGGTTTGCTTACTTTGAGAATCACTAAATAAATTTGAAAATGAGGAATACTTCCTGTTATTCTTTGAAATTCAGGTTGATGCTTGAACAGTTGAATCTAATGAGGAAGTTAGTCAAGCAATTTTATCTGTAATTTCTTAACCAAATAAATTAGCTGTTCAGGGGAAAAATAAAAAGTTTTCATATTGATTTAAATTATAATTTAAATTTGCCAAAGAAATTAAATTGCATTTTATCTCTAACAAACTAGACCTATTTTATAATGAAAATGCAATTTATTTTGATTAGTTACCTTTTTTCCTAGGAACCCCTTTATTTTTTAGCATTTTTCATTTCGCAATACTTTTTCCCCCCTAAAAACACATCGAAAGTCATGTAAACATGTCAAACCCTAGCGGCTAGCCATTTTCCACACCCTCTACGCACGAACCCTTATCATGAGTTTGCCGCAAAAAATATCAATCATTTCCACCGAGCTGACTTTTCACGCAGGACCTCTCCTCTCCGCGCCGTCCATTTCAATTACCCGAAACCAGGCTAATTTGCATTTGGATCGCCCTGAGGCCTGAAAAACCGTACCGCAAAAACCGCACCTGGAAAAACTTTTGCGGCAGCCGCATGCGAGGGAAAATAAATTTTGTAGTCATGGCTCTGGCTCTGTGTTTTCTTCTTGTTGTTTGGGCCCGAAAGTGTTGCATTTGTTTAGGCCGGCGAGACACGCACTCCCCCATCGAGGATCCAGGAAAATGTCCTCCTGCCCCTGGATTTTCCTCCTGACTTTTTCCCCCAGGTGACCAAAAGGCGGAGCAACAGTCACCAGTCGACGGCTGAGCAAACAACAGTAGGCTAAAAATTGCGTGTGAAATGGTTTTAACTTTTGCTTTTTATCTCCACTGTGTTGCAATGGCACGTGAGGGTCCTTCGGCGCGTGGGTCCTTAGAAGTTACGCATACTCCGTGTTAACCGATTCATGCTGCCAGTTACCAGTTAATTCTGCTTTTTATTGTATATGCTCTGAGCTGGAAAGTCGGAAAAGTTTTCGACGCACTGAGGGAAATCATATTACAATTTCAGGGTTTTTGAATAAATTTAAATAAATCTATTTAAGAAACTGGGAAATACTTAAATGTTTTTTTTCTAATTTAAATACAGTTTATTTCTAAAGAAATATTTAGTTTTTTATAATTAAAAAAAAATTAATTTAAATTTATTAGTAAACAAAATAATTGGCTGAAAATTAAAAACTCTTTTTACTTAATAAGAAATAAAATTACAATTATTTTTTATGATTTGTAAGATTTCATATTTGTACCGACAAATTATCTTAAAAACGTGTTTTTATAGATATTTTTAAATTATTTAAAAATATTACTTCTAATGGATTTTTAGAAACATTACAAATATTATTTCTTCCAGTGCACCTGCGTGTTCTTAAGCAGCTTTTCTCGCATTTTCCCCACTTTTCATCTGGCGTAACTCAACAAAAAGTCGATCTTCTTTTCCCTTGTTGTTTTAGTTGACATTTTATTTCTTACTTTGCGTAGGTAAATTTAATGGAAAACGACGTGCCCTTCCTTCAATTTTGCCTTGCTATATGCTGCAAAAACTTTCAGCATACGAAATGAATTTTATTTGAAATCGAAACGGATTAGGGGCACAAGAAAAATAAACTCCTTCGATAAACGAGACTGGGCAATCAATTCGGGCATTTGGGGGCGTGAGTGTTTCAGGGGGCGGGGCAAATGGACCGGCCAACTTAATTGACTTTTGAAGTGACTAACCATCAATCGTGGACCCGAAAAACCCAACCCACCCAACAACATCACATGTGGAGCCCATAAAATCATTTAAATAATAAATGCTGCTAAAAGTTTATTCGGGGTAGCTTAGCATGTAATCAAAGTTGGGCTAATGAAAACATTTGCAAAATGTTTGCCCCACATTTTCCCCCTAACCACTCTGCTCACTTTATGTGTGTGTATGTGTGGGTCCATAAAATCAATAAACTTAAATAACTACAAATAACTGAGAAATTGGGCCACAGCCCAAATGCAATTACCTCCCACGTAATCCTCCCTTTCCACAGGATTTTGCGGAGGACGAGATGAGCTGCAATTTTGCCACACGTTCTGCTTTCTCTCCCTCAATATATATATATAAACATATTTGCTAATGAGATGGATTAAGGACCAAAAAGTTGTGGACAAAGTTGACCGTACACCAAATCCCCACCGAAAAAAAATAAAAGAACCGCAATAATAATTCATGTTTATGTCAGCCAAATAAATATGCTAAATAATGTTTGCTTGTGTTTGTTGTGGTTTAGTTTTGGCTTTGCCAGAGATGAGGAAGGAAATTGACAATTTCCTGTGGGGCGAGTTTCAGCGGAGGGCATTAAATCGGATTTAAATGTGTGTGGGAAATATATAAACCAATTAAAGGCATCGGATGGGATTAAAAACGTATAAAAAAGGTTGCAAAAAGTTATTATAAATTTGAATAGGGGCTCAAATTATACTTTTTTGTAAATATAGGTAAAGAAGGTATACTATAAAAGAGGGGCTATTTTAAATGACAAGTTGAAGATGGAGCAAAAACGGTTTGAATTAGATATTTAAAACATTAAACCGAAATTTAAATATATAGATATAGACGTTGATAAAACTGTAAACCTATTTAACAAAGTGACTATTTTATTTAGTAATTTAATATACTGAAAACCCATTAAAAGTTAACTGTTTAATATTCAGCACATAATAGTTGAAAACTTCACACATTCCCTGGAACCCATAAAATCCCGGCACCCTCAAGATCATTAAAACCCAAGCAACTCAATCGTGGGGATAATTAAAAATCCCCCTCGACAAAGTCGGTTTATAATGTCATAACATTCTGAATGCGCCATATATTCCGCACATTGGTTTCCTGCCCTCGATTCCGATTCCTTGGCGAAGAGTCTCTAACATTTCCCTCTTGAATAAACCAATCGACCATGAACTGAACCCCCCGATCCTAAGCCCCCTAGTTCCCCCATCCTATATATATACCCTCCACATATTCCGGCAATCAACAATGAGCGAAGCACAAACTTCCGGTCTCACTTTCATTCAATTCTGCCCTGCACTTTATTGCAATAAAAAAAGAACAGAAAAACAGCAGCAAAAACAAACGGAAAAAATCGCATAAAATGCAAAACGTTCTCGGTTCCACTAAAAAGGTCTATAAACATTTTGAGTCATCAACTTGTCTTTTTTTCCCCACTGCCGCCGCCGCCGCGAGAAGAGTGAGAACCAATTTACAGCTATGCCCAAAAAGAAAACAAAATTAAAGCAAACAAACAGCACGCACAAGCATTTAATGGAGGCCAGAAAACGAGGGAAAATCGCATCTGATGGTGATGAAAAATAGGAGGAAGAACCTCATCGCACATGTGTGCGAGTTTTGCAGCGAATCGAATTGGAATAAAA